CTGGTAGCATAGTGCCTAAGGCACTTGACTGCCAATCAGAAGGCTGGCGGTTCAAACCCACCAGCCACTCCTCGGAAGGAAGATTGGGCAATCTACTTCGGTATTGATATTGCCTCGGAAACCCAAGGAGGGGTCACTATGAGTCGGGTCTGACTCCACAGCACAGAACAACAACAACAACAAATATTATATTATATTATATTATATCATATTGTGTTATATCATATTATATTATATTATTATATTTATGGGTCACTTGTACCCAGAGCATGGGATGCTTTACTCTTTATAACTACCCAGCCCTTTCTCCTCCTATTCCTTCCCCACAAAGAGTCTTGGATCCTCTGCTAACATAGAAAGTTAATCTGTGAGAAGGGGCAATGGCTTCCTCAGCATTTCAAATCTTGGAATTTTCCTGTCTCAAGAAGTAAGCTTTAAAAAGTTGAGCTGCATACCTGCCACTGTCTGGCTCTGTGATCACAAGCAAGTCATGAACCTTTGTATTTCTATTCTACTTTTTCAACAAGTTAGATTTCAATTTTTCAAGTTGGGGAGCATTAAGACTTTGAGTACTCAGGCACCAACTAGAACTACTGAGTCGTTCTTTGAGATGGATGTACAGAAATCATTATGGTCCCCAGATAATTTGATGCTTCACTAACTGTGTTCAGATACCACAGGATCAAAGGTTCTCTTCAGCACTGAAGTTAAGGCCAGACTAAGGAGCTTGCTCTGGTCTTAAAGATGCCAAATACTAAGTGAAGGGTGATGTAGAATGGATTAAAGTACACAAGAGTAAGCATCTCTGTCCCCTTTACTCACCCCCATCTCTATCTAGTTCTCCTCCTTCTTGTCAAGGTTATTTTCCATTCATCTCAAACATTTTATCTTTTTATCTCAGTCAATTCCTTACCATCTGTTTTGGTTACCTACTACCACTCTGACATCACAAATGAGATGACATTAACCAATAGGAGTTTATTCTCTCACAGTTTGGAGGCTTTAAGTCCAAGTTCAAAGTGCCAGACTCTAGGGATTGTGTGAAAGCCCTTGGACCTTGGGCTTCAGCTCTGCTTCTTGCTCCCAGCCCACTGAAGCCAGAGGCATCTCTTCACTTAGGCAGCTACTTTCTGCTAGGCTAACAAGCCCAAGGTCGACATATAAAGTGGCACAGTTTCGATGTTACCAAACCACCTGGCAGGCCATTAATTCAAGTCCATTGTAAGTCCCAAGGTCGGCAGAGCATGGCAGGCTGCTGAACAATGACTCAGCTACATTCAGGGTCATAGCATGCCATAAGCTAGAGACCATCCCCAAAGCTGTTTCTTATATACAGGAAGCAGACCACATACCCAAAGGCAGCTACTCAGCTGCTCAAAGTAGATTCCACCATGGAGTTCATTACCAGTCTCATCATGGGGAATACTACCACATCCAGCTGCCCAGCCACTCAACCAGGCCTAGCCAAGCTGACACACAAACTTAACCACCACACCATACCATCAATTGATTCTACCTTGTGATAATAATGCCCACCCTCAGCGGAGGGTCCACCCAGGGATCCATTGCATTACCATTAAATACTTCAATAACTTGTTTGAGGGTTTCCAAAGAAATGCCACTGTATCCTTTGGCTAAGACATTTATCCTCAAAGCCAAGAGCATCCGACATCTCTCAGGGATCAGTGGTTTCCCAACACCTATAAGACAGAATTGATGATTTTTCCAAGAAAACCAAACCCCTTTCCACCGCAAGGCTACCTGGATCTCTCAAATCATTCTTCACTTCTGTCCAGTTTCCTACCACTTTCTTGTCTAGTTCTCCCTCTGCCTGTCTCACTTCTCAAAGCCCCACCTTCTAGACAGGTGTGAGACTGCAATTTCACCTTCTCAATTCCCCTTCCTGGAACACTTCAGTGGGGCCCCATTATCCTAAAAGTTCAGACTCCTCTGCCCAAACTCCTTCACAATTTGATGGGAACTGATTTTTGACAGGCTTTCTTCTTATCTCTTATATCTTTTTGAAAGACTTGCTTATCTCTTGCCCCTCCAACTCATTCCCCATGTTCCAGCCATGAACTTAGTTCCCTGCATGCATCATTCTCTGGGCATACTTCTCGTCACTCGTACTCCTGCCCCAGCCCCAGCCCCCAACCTGGTGCATTCCTTCTTCTGAGATTGAGCTGAGTGCAGTTTTGTCTGATGCTTTCTGCTTCCCTTCCACCCTGACAGAAGAATTGGCAGCTAGTCCTTGGAATATTTTAGAGCCTCCTTGGAGCTGCTACAAGATGAATCACACTGTGCTGTGATTTAGTCATCAAATCATTAAGATCTAGGTCAGCTTCTAGCACCAGAAGACATCCCAACAATTTGAATGGATTACCTGAAGAATGTGAACGTACTAAGTTGACCTGGAGCTCCCTGGAAGAGAAAGGAAAAAACCTTCTTAGATACTTAGCAATGAAAATGTTCACTCATCTAGGGCAATGAGGGAGGAAGAATTCAATCCTTAGAAGGATAGAAAGAGGCAGTGTCAGGTGGTGGAAGAAACTATCAAGTGTGTGTTTTCAATACCAACTTGTGTGCAAGTTAACCCAAGCCTCATCTTCCTCATTTGTAAATTAAGGTGAGGCCCCACTCTGAAGCTGTGAAGATTTAGTGAGATGCCCCTTAACCGAGATTCAAATGTTAATCATTTCCCTTGTGGAAAAAATTCTCAAAGATAGGGTGGGAGGAAGTGAAATCAAACTTACTCTAGCTTATTGACAGGAATCACAGTTCTGGCAAATTTTCCAAAACCTGTGGTAATGCCATAAACAACTAGAATAAAAAGGAAACATTGTACAATTAGATGCAAGCAATTTTTTATAATGTCTATCAAGAAAAAAATATTACATAAAGAGAAAAAGATACCAGTTTTTTCTTTCACGATGCGGTCTATGACTTCCCTGGATGCTTGCACCTTCTTTTCAGCAATTGAGGTGAGCTGGGGAAAGGTTGTTCAGCATTGAGCATGTTAAAGACTTCTATGTGTGGTGAATGGCCCGAGGGCCCCTTCTCCCGCCTCCCCTATACCTTTATTTTGTAGCGACCCTTTCCCAAGTTGACCAGATCCTCTGTGGTCAGGCTGTCCCCATCTATGGCGATGTACTGCACAATAGAAGGGGATTTCGGTGAGTTACTCTGGCACGAGTATAGGGAAGGCCCAAACAGAACCAAGCATTGACACTTCAAAGACTTCATCACTGGGGTTGCCATAAGCTGGAATCAACTGGATGACAATCTATTTGGTTTTTCCTCTTTTTTTTAAAAAAAAAAATTTGGTTGGTCAAACATCAGTGTGGTAATTAAAAAGGCAACTTGCTTAAGAGGAGGCTGAGTAAGAAAAGTTAGAAATTCAAAAGCATAATGCCTTTGCAAGCTCTCTTTAACCCCCAAATTAAAGGTGGATCAAATCCTGTCCTAATTCATAGTCTTTATTGATCAATTTTGTTGGCCCTCTGTCTCCTTAAGTGAAGGCTGCAAAGACTTGATTTAGTTGTCTTAACAAAAAGAAAGTGGTTTGAAGCTTACCTTTTCAGGTTCCCGGTATTTGCTGTATCTGAAGCCCAGGTAAAGGAAAGTATCAGATAATATGGGAAAGCCCCAATGCCATCATCTGGCAGGGGTAACCCATAGAACAGCCCAAAGAGCCCATGGGAAGGATACAGGTAAACGCCTTCTGGTTGAGATGGAATGAAGTCTGGAGACATTGCATCCCCTTCTATGACTGGAACACGCAAGAGACACTCTGTTACAGATCAGAACATGGCCCCACAATTGGTGTTGCTGTTAAACCAAGAAAGGGCTATCCAACTGCACCAACTTTATGGCTGCTTGAAAATGAGTTTAGGTGCTTTAAAGTCATCTTATAAGTGTCTTTACATAGGAAGAGAGCAACAGGCAGACATGTAAGTGTCAGAGTGAAGGAAGGCACAGGGTTTTAAATGAAGTTCAAGATATACACTTTGTCCCTAGCTTTATTTTCTTTTAAATTTGAACCCCTTATGCCTCTTTGCTCCTGGCCTCTAGTCTGTTGAGGTTGTTTCTAAGGGCAAAAGGACCTTCAAAATGCTTCAGTAACAGCAAAGGGACCCAGGCCTGCAGTCTTGGATTCAAAGCTAGTCTTTATTAGCTTCCTGACCCTGGTAAGTCACCCCCTTTCTGAACCTGCTGCCTCACAGTAAAAGGTAGCTAAGAATCCTACCTACCTCAGTGAGTTGTGTTAAAAGTTAAGCTACTCTGGTGCCTGGCACATACCAAGTGCTCAAGATGCCCCACTTCCTCTCATCATCTTTCTGGAGGTGGGGAGAACACTAGAACCTTCCCCCTCCCAGGGATGTGAGGATGAAAGAAGACCTGAGGCATCAGTTCACATCTTCTCTCCAGCCACTCACCCACTTCCACGAACTCGTTGTCCTCCAGGGCCAACTCCAGCGTGTCGTCATTATCTAGCAGGCCCAGACCCTTGCACCGGCGCACAAGGAAGTTCACGGCGTCCACTGAGTCAAAGCCACCATTGTCAGGCTTGTTCTTGATGTAGCGCCGCACGGCCTCCCGGCCCAGCCAGCCCACGGTGAGCTGAGCATCCGGGCAGGGAACAGCCAGCCATTCCCCACGCACATGTACGGTGTACCTGGGCATGGCCGTACCACTGCAGCCCCTGCAGCCCAATTTGACTCTTTTAACCAGGCTGCTCTGTGCCTGACTTTCTGCTGGTGACAGTCAACTGGGAGAGTTTTATCTAGGAGTGACTGCCAGGGTGTGGTCAGGTGGGGAGGGCAAAGATGGACTTGCAAAACACGCCCCTTCCCTCTCATTCTCTAATTCACGTGTTGCACAAATATTTATTGAGGGCCCCTTTGTGTTTTTTTGCAGCCTGCCTAGGGGTAGGAAAGGGCACTGCAGGCAGATGAGTCACCTTCCCACTCCCAATCCAGTCCATGTCCACAGAAAAGCCTGGGGTCTCTGAGTTGCTAGAGGTCCTGTGTGGCACCCTCTCATCAGAGTCCCAGATTTCGCCTTCTCTCCTGGTTTCTGCCTATGTTCTCCATTATGGGCAGCTTATAGAAACACCACAGTCCTGTCTTTATCTGGAATTACTAAAGGGTAAAATGCATCCTCCTGGCCAACTGTGACACTAGGGAGTGTGGTAATCTTCATTCATTTGTTTATTCCACAAACATGTATTGGGTAACTATCCCCTGTCACTGGTAGGGTCCTTCTACAAAGGAAGACTGCAGAGGCCAAAGTTCATTTTCACAACTAATGGTCTGGACAAATGAACTACCATAGCCTAGAGATTAATAGCTCAGAAGTCCCGGGTGGGACACCCAGGTGCACTATGTATTAGCTCCCTGTCTTGGGCAAGTTACTTATTAGCCTCCCTTTCCTCACCAAATGTAAAGGGGTTAACTGCTTCATTGCAGTATTTTCAGTATCTACCTGGGGTCATGCATGGACAGTGAATAAGGAAAACTGAAGAGCTGATGCATTTGAATTGTGGTGTTGGCGAGGAATACAGAACATACCATGGACTGCCAGAAGAATGAACAAATTTGTCTTGGAAGAAGTACAGCCAGAATGCTTCTTAGAAGTGAGAATAGCCAGACTTCATCTGACCTACTTTGGTCATGTTGTCAGGAGGGACCAGTCCCTGGAGAACGATATCATGCTTGGTAAAGTGGAGGGTCAGCAAAAAAGGGGAAGACCCTCAATGAGATGGATTGACACAGTGGCTGCAAAAATAGGCTCAAGCATAGCAAATACTGTGCGGATGGTGCAGGATCGGGCAGTGTTTCGTTCTGTTATACATAGAGTCACTATGACTTGGTGGCATCTAACACCACCACCACCACCAACTGAAGTCAAATCCTGGTTCTGCCATTTGCTAGCTATGTGACCTCTAGGAAAGTTACTTACCTTCTCTGAGACTCAGTTTTCTCATTTGTAAAATAGTGATAATAGTACCTATTTCAAGTGGCTGTTGGGAGAATTAACTGCAGGTACAGTAATAAAGCCCTTGGAACAATAACCTGACACATTGTAAATGCAGTTGAAGTGGTTGTGATTGCTATGATTTGGACTTTAACACTATTTAGCATATACTGCTTTATAAATGTTTGTTCATCTTGGCACATTGATAGCACTAATTTAATGTCCATTGCCTTCCACTGCAGTCAAGTCATTACCACCAAAAAATTAAACTCACTGCCACTGAGTCGAATCTGACTCATAGCGACCCTCACTGGGTTTCCGAGGAAGTAAATCTTTACGGAAGTAGATTTTCCCAACTTCCTTCCAAGGAGTGGCTGGTGGGTTTGAGCCACCCACCTTCTGGTTAGCAGTCAAATGCTTTAGATGCTGTGCCACCAATACTCTGAATAGCAAGCAAAAAGAATCACAAAGAAATGTGGGCACTGTTTTAATTGGTGGTAAGCCACTTTCTAGATATTAGATTATTGCAATAGGAAAATCCTGAAAAATCTGTTTGCACAAAAACCTATTGGGAATAAAGACACAGTTGCTCACAGAAAACACCCACACCCATGCCTGGAGTCTTTCTCTGACAGCTTCAGGGGCTAGTGTACAAAGAACTACAAACAAAGAGCTACACCTAGCTGAGCCTTATTGGAAACTGCATTTTAGCCACCCACACCCTGGTTTCACCCTGGAATTTGTCATTACCTAGGATTGCTACACATAAGAATTCTTAAATTCTAACACCACACCTCTGACCACAACCAGCTCTCCCCCAATTCAGTCATCTCTACCCTTGGGCCTATTTCCCCCACTTCCTAGCAGCTTCCTCACTTACTTCCTAGGAAGCTGGTCTCTGTACTTGCTCACCCAAACCACTCTTTTTCCAGTGTTTTGAAATTTCTTTATGACCCTAAACCTATGCCTGCACTCTGAGTAATGCCTGATCCCTGGCTCATCACAATACTACCATCTCTGGTCCCCAAAATGGAAGACTCTGCTGCAGAAAGTCCTGTGCTTGTGTAGGTCATGCCACTGGCCTTTTACTTGTCCATCTCCCTTGGTGAGTTCCCTAGTCACTTGATCTTCAAGGGTCTTCTCAATATCCACCTCCTCTCAAAGGAAGATGTGACTTCCTTCATCTCTGAAAAACCTGAGGTCCTTAGATAGGACCACCCAAACTTTCTACTCTTTTCCATTCAGCTGGTCACTCAATTGACACATATTTCTTGAATACCTATCCTGTGCCAAGTACTATGATAAGTTCCAGGGACAAAATAAATAGGATGCATGCTCTGTCTTCATTGGGTTTACTCTCTGATGATGGACACAGAATTCCAACCACCCCCATGCTGGGTGTGCTAACTGACAGCCCCAGCTGAGTCTAATTTGTGAGTCATCCTAGTCTAGACATGAGATGTGTGAGTGCAGAAGACTCCAGCTCCCAGTGATTTAAGCTACCCCAGCCACTTGAGGATTCCAAGCTCAGGTCTTAGACATTGTGGAGCAGAGACAAGCTGTCTCCACTGGCTCTGTCCAAATTCATGACCTAAACAATCCATGTCTATAGTTTGATCATGTTAATCTTTCTCTGCCTGGAACACACTTTCCAACTTTCTTTGCTTGACTACTTATTTCTTAAGACTCAGTTTAGACCTTTTCTTCTTTAGGAAGCATTCCCTAAACCCTTGCAATGTCATTATATTCATAAGTTTTTAGTGAAGGACTGTTTGGCACAGAGCACAGATCAGACACTTCTAATGGCATGACCAATAGCTGTTTATTACTTACAGAATAAATAGGACATGGTTGAGTAGAACAGCACACATCATCATCAGCCGAGGTTCCCCAAAGTTAGGCTTCTGCCCACAGGGTTAGATCACACCCAAACATGCCCCAGTTCATGTCTTGGGAGAACACCTAAATGTCTCTCTCCTGGGATTAAATACTAATAGCACAGATAGCATGTACAGAAAGCAGGTAGGGAAGGGGCAACTAAAGGTAAAACTCGACTAAAATCAAACCTGCTGCTGTCGAGTTGATTCTGACTAATAGCGACCCTATAGGACAGAGCTCTCTGGTAGCGTAGTGCCTAAGGCACTTAACTGCTATTCAGAAGGCTGGCGGTTCAAACCCACCAGCCACTCCTCGGAAGGAAGGTTGGGCAATCTACTTCCCTAGTGATACTGCCTCAGAAACCCAACGAGGGGTTGTCCGACACAATGGCACATAACAACAACAACATAGGACAGAGTATGATTGCCCCATAGGGTTTTTAAGGCTGTCATCTTTACAGAAGCAGACTGTCACATCTTTCGCCTGTGGAGCAGCTGGTGGGTTCAAACCACCAATCCTTTTGTTACTGGCCAAAGGCTTAACCACTGTACCAGTAGGGCTCCTTAAGAAGTGAAAGGGAGTAATAAAAGTGGAAGGCAATGGACATCATTTATTACCCCTATTCAGAGTGGGCTAGATTTACTGCTGCCAGGGAGCAGCCCTCCTCCTTTACTCCACTAAGAGTTATTAGTGGGCAGTCATCTCCCCCAAAACACATACTTTATGTCCACTGGTAGCTATTATGTCCATTAGCAGCTAGGGAGAAGATGAAAGAGATATAGCACACTTGTGCTCCTAGCAACTCTTAAACCCGAAAAAAGTTGTCATCCAGTCGATTCTCACTCATGGTGACCCAACGTGTCCAATGTGTCAGAGTACAGCTGTGCTTCATTGGATTTTCAATGGCTGATTTTTCAGAATTGGATTGTCAGACCTTTCTTCTGAGGTACCCTGGAGTTGAATTTGAACTTCCAACCTCTGGTTAGCAGCTGAGTGTGTTAACCAATTGAACCATCTGGAGATTTCCTAAATCTTAGTTGAAGTGGCCCTTCTTGGCTGCTTTAGTATATCTCTTGTTTAGTATTATATAGAAATTACTTATCTTTGTTCATCCAGTAATTATGTGTACATAAAGCCTGGCACAGACACTTAAACTCCAAGTCACTGCTGCCGAGTGACATAAGCTTATTAACTAAACTGAAAAAATATGAAGTCCTTTGGACCAGTCCTTGGTTAATCTGAAAGTAGGATAAATTTGTCTTTAGCGCCCCCTACTTTCTTCCACCCCACATCTCTGTCAATTTTCTGTGGTGGCTTGCTTGTTGCTGTGATGTGAAAGCTATGCCACTGGTATTTCAAATACCAGCAGGATCACCCATCGTGGGCAGATTTCAGTGGAGCTCCCAGATGAAGACAGACTAGAAGGACATGGCCAGGCCCACTTCTAAAAATAATGACCACTGAAAACCTTATTAATAGCAGGGAAACACTGTCTGATATAATGCCAGAGGCCCTCAGGTTGGAAGGCATAGAAAATATAACTGGGGAAGAGCTATCTCCTCAAAGTAGAGTCAATCATAACGATGTGGATGCAGTAAAGTTTTCTGGTCTTACATTTGATGATTCACGTGACTCAAAAGGAGAAGAAACAGTTGCCAACATTCATTAATAATTGGAACATGGAATGTATGGAGTAAGCATTTAGGAAAATTGGAAGTTGTCAAAAAATGAAATGGAATGCATAAAGATCAATATCCTCATCATTATTAGTGAGCTGAAATGGACTGGTATTGGCCATTTTGAATCAGACAATCATATGATCTGCAACACCAGGAATGACAAATTAAAAGGGAATGGCACCACATTCATCATCACAAAGAACATTTCAAGTTCTATCCTGAAGTACAATGCTGTCAGTGATAGAATATCCACATGTCTACAAGGAACACCAGTTAATATGACTATTACTCAAATTTACACACCATCTTTAAAGCCAAAGATGAAGAAATTCAAGATTTTTACCAACCTCTGCAGTCTGAAATTGACCAAACATGCAATCAAGACATAGTGATAATTACTGATGACTGAAATGTTAAAGGTGGAAACAAAGAAGCATCAGTAGTTGGAAAACATGGTCATGGTAATAGAAAAGACGTTGGAGATGACATGACAGTGACTTGCAAATATCATCTTTACAACAACATAAATGTAAAAACAGTGACTATACACGTGGACCTTGCCAGATGGAATAAACCGGAATCAATCAAGTGTTATCTAAAGGAAAAGGATGGAGAAGCTCAATATCATTGGTCAGATCAAGGCCAGGAGCCAAATGTGGAACAGACCATCAATTTCTCATATGCAAGTTTAAATTGAAGCTGAAGAAAATTAAAACAACTTTACAAGAGCCAAAACACGACTTTGAGTATGTCCCACCTGAATTTAGAGAACATCTGAAGAAGAGATTTGATGCACTGAACACCAGTGACTGAAGACCAGATGAGTTATGGGATGACAAAAGAAGATGGAAGAAATACACAGAGTCACTGTTCCAAAAAAAAAATTAGTCAACTTTCAACCATTCCAGGAGGTTGAACATGACAAGAACAGAAGGTACTGAAGGAAGAACTCCAAGCTGCACTGAAGGCATTGTCAAAAATAGGCTCCAAGGATCAATGGAATATTAGTTGATGTGTTTCAAAAAATGGATGCTGCACTGGAGGCACTTGCTTGTTTATGCAAAGAAATTTGGAAGACTGCTACCTGGCCAGTTGACTGGAAGAGATCCTTATTTGTATCCATTCCAAAGAAAAGTAATCGAACACAATGCAGAAATTATTGAGCAATGTCATTAATATCACACACAAGTAAAATTTTGCTGAAGATCGTTCAAAAACAATTGCAGCAGTACATCAACAAGGAACTGCCATAAATTCAAGCTGGATTCAGAAGACAGCGTGGAATGAGGAACATCACTGCTGATGTCAGCTAGATCTTGGCTGAAAGCAAAGAATACCAGAAAGATATTTACTTGTGTTTTACTGACTATGCAAAAGTATTTGACTGTGTGGATCTTAACAAATTATGGATAACATTGTGAAGAATGGGAACCGGAGAATATTTCATTATGCTCATGAAGAACCTGTACATAGACCAAGAGGCAGTTGTCTGAACAGAACACAGTTTAAAAACAGGAAGGGTGTGCATCAGAGTTGTATCCTTTCACGACACTTATTCAATCTTTATGCTGAGCAAATAATCTGACAAGATGGACTGTGTGAAGAATGTGCCGTCTGGATTAGAGGAAGACAATTAGCAACCTGCAATATGCAGGTGACACAATCTTGCTTCTTGAAAGTGACTTGAAGTATTTATTGATGAAGATCAAAGACTATAGTCATCAGTATGGATTACATCTCAACCTAAAGATAACCAAAATCCTCACAACTGGACCAATAAGCAACATCATTGTAAATGGAGAAAAGATTGGAGTTGTTAAGGATTTCATTTTACTTGGATCCACAATCAATGCCAGTGCAGTCAAGAAATCAAATGACATATTGCATTGGAAAATCTGCTACAAAAGACTTCTTTAGTATTTAAAAGCAAAGATGTCACTTTGAAGACTGAGGTACGCCTGACTCAAGCCATAGTATTTTCAATAGCCTCATATGCATGTGAGAACTGGACAATGAATAAGGAAAACCATAGAATTGATATTGTGGTGTTGGTGAAGAATATTGGAAAATACCATGGACTGCTATAAGAATGAACAAATCTGTCTTGGAGGAAGTACAGCCAAAATGATCCTTAGAAGCAAGAATGGCCAGACTTTATCTCCGATCTCTGGAGAAGCATATCATGCTGGGTAAAGTGGAGGGTTGGTGAAAAAGACCATAAATGAGATGGCTGACATAGTTGCTGCAATGATGGGCTCAAATATGGCAACGATTGTGCGGATGGTGCAGGACTGGGCAGTGCTTCACTTTTGTGCATAAGCTTGCTATGGGTCCAAACCGACTTGATAACACCTAACAATCTTCTTCCATACCACTCTTCAAGCATGCCTTATCCCAATTTATTTCAGTATTACTAATCATGAATGAAAAAATGACACTAGTTTAGCATATGTTGAGTATGCTTATAATGCAGGAGAAGACTTGAAAGTAGTATTTGGGGACATGGATTTACTAATATCTAATTACTTCCTAAGTGATTAGATATCTGGAATGTGAGCTGAACTCTAGAATTCTTCACAAGGAAGACAAGTGAGATCTGAGGCTTGAGAAATAGTCACAGTGTAGTGAAGTTGTCCAAAAGGAGATGACTGCTTGGAGGGGTGAGAAAGAAGTATCAAGATTCCAAGAACGAACGGGAACTTGTCCTTTTGATACCTGCCTTTTGGGTGTTTGTTCCTATCAAGTTTAGGATTTTAGGCACTGTATTAGCACTGATGATACACCCACACCCATCTTTATACTATAAAACACTATTCCTGTTGGCCAGATTATTGGCCAGTGGTGGACCTAAACTAGACCACAGTCTGGGAATTTAGAACCTAGATAGCCTTTTTTGTGTGATAAGAACTATTTGTACCAGTAAAGCTGAAGGGTAGCCAGACCACACATTCTGGACTAGGGAAGAAGAGATAAGACACAAGAGTATTGATGACTCTAACATCCCAGGGGTCAGTCCCCTTTTGTCTGCATTCAGATTCTGATAACTTTTCCCAATGCTGTATCTTTAAAATAATCCTCCTCTTCCATTTCTGACTGCCAGTCTTTTGGGTTGGTGTTACTTGCAAGAAAAGAATCCTAAACAGCACAGCTGTGGTTGCCAAACTGTGGGCTTATGTGCCAGGGGGCATCATGAGTAATTTGGGATATTTAAAATTTTTGAGGAAAACCAGTGCTGTTTGTTTGATACCACACGATCACTATTTGGTTTGAACCTAACTACTTAATAAATGAAATAGGTATTTCTTTTGGCTAAGGGTACTGTGAAAAAATTACCAAGACACTAAGTAGCGGCTGGGAACTAAGAAAACCTGGGAATCTCTGTAATACAGTCATTGCGCATTTCTAGCTACTCTAGTTAGAAATGCTAGATCTGAGCTATTTCTAGTTACTCTCTTCTCTCATTTTATCAAGTTGCTCTAATGCTTTCCACATGTTTCTTTCTGCACACTGTATGATCTCTGTAGGTGAAGAATGTTTGCTGGCCACTGAGGAGGGGAAGACAAAGCAGACTGAAGAAACTCTCAGGAGGATGTCTGAGGGACTGATGAGAAGTACTTAAGTTCAGGGTGACTACCTGACCACTGAGGGAGGAGACCAGATGAGCCCAGTGGGTCGGTGTGGTAGATCCAGGAGCAGGGAGTATGATGCTCCTGTTAGAGCGCGTACATTTTGGTTAGGGAGTTTATCCTGTGTCCACCCGGCAGGTGGTGAGCAAATCTAACTGGAAGTTTGTGTTTACGGTTATTTAAAAAGCAAAAATCTAATCATGTTGAATTCTAGGTTTGTAGCAGATTCATATGAAAGAGTTTAAAGGAAATATCAAGTAAATAACATGTTGACATATTTTGTGATCTCATTGGGAAAAAACTAATATGAAGCCCATTTTCAAAACTGCAATTTACAAATCAGAAGATTAAACCTTCCTAAAATTTCTTTTATGAAGAACATACCACTTAAAAAATGTAGCACAGCTTTATTTTAGCAAAATCACTGACAAAACAATAAAAAGCCCAAACCAAAATGACATTTTTAATTACAATGTGAGCTGAAGCATTATATTTCTTTATGAAATCAATTTAAAAAGAGACCCTTCTGAAGTCACCCATACGAGCTCTGGAGGCGTAGTGCCTAATGCATCTGACTGCTAATCAGAAGGATGGCAGTTCAAACCCACCAGCTGCTCTGCAGAAGGAAGACAGAGCAATCTCCTAATCCACTTTTAAGTCTTTCCCCACCAGCATGGCTGTCACGGGATGCATACTGGCTCTGTGTTGCTGGTAGGCACAGACAGCTAGATCATGGGATTTGTCAAAGGCAGCAAGATCCCTTTGAAAGAAAAAAAGAATAACAGTCAACATCTCAGATTAAATTAATGGAATAAGGGCAGACGTGACAGCCAACTATTTAACAAAAGTGCCGATTCAGGAATAAGAGGAGAACAGACTTTCTAGAGCATTGTGCTTGAGCCCCAGGGGAGAGGGAATGAAGCCTGGTGCAGAAGAAGGGTGGCCTACCCCAAGAGATGGACAGTTCATTCAGAGTTCAATATGCGCAGCATCAGTGACCCTCATCTACCCTTGGTGGGCGGGGAGGGCACGGCTGAACGTAAAGAAAATAAAAGCACAAATCCGCAGTGTGGGATGAAAGCAAAAGCACTCTGAGACCTGGGCTCTCCAGTGCCCAGCCACATGTGGCTGTTTAATTATGTAAAATCAAATTAAATTAAAAATTAATTTCCTTAGTCATACGAGCCACATCTCGAGTGCTCAGTGCCCCAAGTGGCCAGTGGCTACCCCATGGGTCTGTGCACACAGAGAACGCTCTCATCACTCCTGCAAGTTCTGCTGGACAGTGCTATTTCACACAGACCCTGAGACCCGCTAGGCACACTGGTCTCATCTCCTAAATAACCACTGGAGTTCACCTGGGAATATTCTGGAAGACTGGCTTCCTAGTATCATTCATGCTTTATTAACTCTTTATATAATACTTCTAAAGAAGCTAATAAAACTACCTCAAATTTTAAATATTTGGAAACATTAACCCCTATTCCACAATTACATCTACAAGCTTTTAACAAGGTGAAAAATACTAACTATACAGACATTTTACAAAAATTTTAAAAACAATAAAAATTTGTTTAGGACTTTTCTTTCCCATTCCTTATCTAAATTCAATGCACAGAGCTTGACTGGGTTCTTACTTAAACAAGGGTCGTGTAAACTTCATTCTTCCTTGCTCAGTTGCCATTTTCAAAGCCAGTGGAATTGCTTCCTCCCACTTCGACTGAATGCAGAGCCGTAACCATCTGAAAGGAGGATTTTTAAGGGAGAGGGGGCAGTAAGTGAGGAGGAAGGGGCAGGATATGACAGGTATG